CCCCTTATCTATCCTGTCCCTAGCTGCAAGTGAGGTCTTGCTCCCCAGTCTAAGTCATACTGTGCTAAAGGACAATCACTTTAGTTCCAGAATAAAAATGAAATTACTTTAATTTCTGGTTTGGAAGATATGCTTAACTAACATTGTTTACAGTCACCTAGACGGTAAGTTTCCTGGCTTCAAGACCATTAGGTATGTTTGGGCAGTATAGAGCCTAGCAGAAAAATCTTCTTTGTGCTAGAAGAGGTAGTTAAATGTACCCATGAGGATTTTCTTATTTTTTGTCTTCCAGACAGGCAGCCAGTCCCTACACACTTACCCCTGGCAAGCACCCACAGTCCACCGGAAGATGAGGAGAAGCTAATGGAGGTGCTGGAAGAGTTATCCCAGAAGTTCAAATCCACTTCTCCAGGAACTTAGTGTCAGTGCTGAAACAGCGTAACCACAAAGCTTCTAATTACACAGTAACAATACTGTAGTGCGCCTGCTGTTGAGGGGAGGTAGGATGCCATAGGCCTGTTAAAAATAAATTGTGTTCAGGTGTTCTCATCATGGGGAAGAGTGGTGCCTGTGACTTTTTTTTCTGCTGCTGAGAGTCTCTCCCATTGTGAATATGCACCTGCTGTCTCAAGACACAGTACGGTAATGTTCTTTGAATTGGAAGAAAAGGGGGAGGCATTAAAATAAAACCCAAGGCTTTGTGAAGTTACCCAAAATCTTTTAAAACACTCAGCACAGAGAAATGCAGAGGAGTGTACCTTCAGTAGCTCTCATGAAAGACTTCAGGAAAGAAGTAGTAAGTGTTTTAAATGATGTTTAACTACTGTATTTGACAGGTTGGTGGCTTCCTTCACTGGGTGAGGGTGACTGGGCTCAAACCTGTAACTGGGAATGCAGAAACTCTCTTGCATTGCCTGCTTAGTTTAAATGGAAGGATCCCTCATGGCCTTCAGTCTCTATAAATCAATGCTGGTATGCAGAAGTGCTCTGCTTCCTCAAGTTTAAACAGCAAGAATTTAGGAACGCTGCCAAATGCCTTCCACATTACTTTATGGAGCCAGGGCTGAATATTATCTCGCTTATGTCAAGACACCATGAAGTAGGAGGCTTCAACACATACCACACCCAGACATGGTTGAACCCAACGGAGAAATGGCTGCATGACTAGGCATGAGAAGAAATAACATGATAAGCCATACGTGCTTGCCATTTCTGTGAAAGATCAAAGGGAATTGCTTTATCATTATGAATGGATTAAGAGGGGGAAGGGAACACAGGGGGGCACAGGCTTTAGAGGAGAATTCTGCCTCCTGATGAGAGGGTTGTATTTTGTCTGGAACTGTTTATTTCCAGACACAGAGGATGGGATTCGCTTACCTGACCTGTGGACGTTTGAATTACTCATTGGGATTCTCACTAAATCAGTAGAGAGAAAACAGGCTTTTTCACAGTGATTTACTGGATCTAGTTTAAGAAACAACCCTTACATTCCTATGTCTTTCTACTGATGGTGAAGACAACCAGCTCAGACTCAGACATTCAGGTGGGATTCATTTTGTCTTACGTATTTCAGATTTACTGCAAAGCCAAGACTATTAATAACGATAGCGGTAACACATTTTCTCCTGAACTGAGTGTGTTTGATAGCAAACTGCATACAGAACCCACCTAAGTCGCACCACTGTTTTACTACTGGCTGATGGCATTTACTCATTATTCAGAGACATCTTATTAAGTATCAATTTAGAAGAAAACTTCTTTTTTCAGCCTGTTGTCAGTCTCCTTGGAAATAAAGGCTTTACCGTCAGAGAGGCCCTGAAATAAGTTTTCCCATGATAAGCAGGGCTGAGACACCTCAGGCTGTCACAGCTCTTCCTGAAGAGGCTGGATCAGCATTCAAACTATTGCTTTGTTTTAGAAACTTAACTCCTCCTCGCACTACAGTGAAAGAAAACAACAGCAAGGCTTGTACAGACGTTCATTTCCTAGAAGTCTGGTGCTAACATTTTACATGGTTCAACCTCTTAAATACAGTTACTGAAAATAACAGCATGGCTGAAAGCATATACAGTAACTACATTTCTCTGTCCAGTAGCTGCAAAGCTAAGGAAGACATTTGCATACTGGAGAATTTAAGTTAAGTTGCTTCTCAGCTCTGCAGTATAGAAGAAAAGGTTAATGACAGGTTTTTAAATAGTTCATAAAAATAACCAAAAGTGCACAATGTATAACAATGTATATTTTAGTCCACATTCTGTACTGATGTATTTGAATAGCCTGTATTTTTCTTTTTAGTCACAGCTTAAAAATGAAGCCAAAGGTATGAAAACTGCTTTAATCAAAGTTTGGTCACAGTATAATAAAAGAGCCCGATACTGTGGTTTAAGAGCACTTGTGATTTAAAAAGAATTAAAACACGGGACAGTGATTAGAAACAAAATCCGGTCTCCCACACTTTGGTATTATGGTCCTGATGATGCTTTATTTCAGCCCTTTTCCACAAGAGCAAACACAGCATGTGGCTGTGAAGCCAGCGAGACGCTTTGTGTTAATGCAATCCAGAATGACTTGTACCTGCACGTAAGCAAATACATTTACTGCCACCTATAAAATTTTTAGGGGCAAGAGAAAAAAGGGCATCCAGTGACGGATTACCAGAAATAGATGGTGGTGCACATTTTGCTAAGCAGCGCACGCTGCGGACTTCAGTACACACCTGGTTTCTAGGAGCCGAGCGCCAAGCACAGCAGCTGTTCTTACTGCCCTTCCCTTTCCACGCTCAGCCCAACACTTCTGTCAGCTCTCAGGCTTACATGACTCTGACCTCAGTGGTTTTTCACATTCTGAAAGCTTTCGCGTTTTTCTTCATGTTGGGAATCACCTAGTCAGAAGGTTTTTGCTCTTGGGGATTGAAATGTAACAGATATCAGATGATTCTGTAAACTGCATTTCCTCTTTTCCTAAATTTCATTTCTGGGCTGTGTTTATTCTTTGTAAAAAAAACCCAAAACAATCTATGGTTGATTAAAGGTATAAACAATTGTTTATTTTCTGCTTTTGAATAGCAGGACATTCCCATGTATACCTCACTATTGTGGAGTAAACTGCAAATGCCAACTGTTAGTGTTTGCAGCAGCACACCCGCCAGCTTTTGTGCTGTCCTAACTCTCCACGCTCACTGGGAACAAGATGCAAGCAGGGACACACCCCTTCCTGCTAAACAAGACTCAGGTGGGATGCTGAACATGCCCTGCCTGGGCTCAAAGAGGGGAGTTCCAACTGTAGACTTGATATAAACAGACTTAAGTCAGTGCTGAAAAACTCAGTGTAAACAATTTATTTAGTGGGACACAGCCCTGGGCCACATATTTAAATTTTCAGTTCAATCACTAATTGTATTTTTTGAATAATGGAGCATTTTTTTAAAGTCATATAGCAGTAGGAGCAGTACAAGTTTTCATTAACCAATGTTTAACTTGGTGAGTGGAGAGTGAACATGGAGTTATTCTTTCAGAAAACAACCTGGTGGTCATTGACACCAGTGGAGAAGGGCAGCTATAAACCAGTTTAATCCGTAAGGTCCTTTTGGCCGTGCCCTTCTTCCATTCCCTGTGCGTGGTGCTCTCTCACACTCCCTGCAAAAATAAAGTTCCCCTTCTCGTGACACCGGATCTTGCGTATCTAAAATTAGTGCTGGTCAACATCCACCCACTGTCTTTTTAAACGAACTGAATGTCAGCGGGACACTTCAGATCTCTCCTGGCTCGGCTTGGAGTATTTCCCTGTCTGTCCATCAGGCAAACAGGGTTTTGTTGGGAGAGGCAGTTCTGGGTGCATTTGGGCAGACCCAGTGACTGATTACAGAAGATAATTGTGAAATGCAAATAAGACAACTTGAAAACTCTGCATTCCTGCAGTCATCCTAACAGCACTGATCTAGACAATGAGAGAAAGAAGGCATTGAAAAGGCAAGGAGTCTGATGGGGAGTGAGTGTAACAAAAACACTTCTGGGGCTAAAAGTGACCAAATCCAAGAACTTCATTATGTGAAGTAGGTCAGCATTTATGTTCCTCTCTCTAGAGGGAGCCATCAGATAAACAGTAGGAAAAACGATATATTCTTGTGAAGGAAACTTCACAAGAAACTCTCCCTCAGAGTAGAATCTAACACACAGCCTTACAAAGAGAGACAGCGCCAGCCTGCCCAAAGGTCTTCAGCAGGCCAGGTTTTCAGTCTACCGTCAGGAGAAACAACTCAAACCAGCCACCAGCAGTGGCAGTGGCACTTCACAGACAAAAATGTTGCTAGAACAGAGGAAAAGAGGTAAAATCTGCACTGGTGCAAACTTCAGGCAGCTGCCTGGAAGTGGTGTTTTCCTTGATGGTTAAAAATCATCTTCTTGAGCACCTTCGCTTTACTTTCCAGCTGGGAATCTGCAAGGAGCCTTGGGGCGATGCAGAAACTCATGCAATTTGTTCACTGCCCAAACACCCTGCTTCCCTCGGCTGCTATCCCGCTGCCGCGCAGTCAGAGTGAGAATTCGTTGCGGCAAAGGAATGACCCCGCTTGCCCATGCAGTGGTTGTCAGTTTTATGCCAACTCATAGAATAGGTAGGTGAACGGGTCCAGTCAGAACTCAATAACCCCAAATTCCTCATTACAAATCAACACACCCATAGAGATGGAAAAGTAATAGCCAGAAGCTGACAGAAATTAATTCAGTGGGGTTAAATTAGCGCAATTTATTCAGGTACATTGGAGACACTTACATAATGGAACAGAACTGGAGAGTGTTACAATATCATTAGCGGAAAAGATGGTCAAATTGCTGAGCAGTATTCCTAGAAAACACTGACCTGAACAAAAGCCAGTAAGATCTTTTCATGTAAAATCCCTCTGTTCTGAAAGACAACAAAGCCCCCAAAATACTGGTCAGTATGGTGAACTTCACTGACCAAGTAGGGAGTCAGGAGCACTGCTCAGCCTTTGGAAAACTAAACCACACCTGAAACTAGTGGTAATGACAAAGATGAAAAAAGTTCATGGACTCATTTTTTTCTGAAACTTTTTTGATTACTTGGTGGTGGCAACCCCACAGAACTTTCTTGTGACAGGACAAAGTAGAGGTGTTAACAATAGGTCTTTCACGTGTGAGGGAAGCCCTGAGCTATTATAAAATGTTTGTATTTGGTTGGTATCTGCAAAGGTGCTGAATTCAGTGACCAGGGATGAAGAAAATTGTGTGAAGAAGCCTGGAGAGTACAAAGGTGATAAAACGTATAGAGAACAAGTAACTGGAGAGAGGCAAAACCTGTATCTTTGTAGGGCCTGGTACCTCTTGGCACCATCTCAGTAGTGATGTGTCTCTTCCCTATCGTTTAAGTATCAAAGTGCTTCTGCATTTAATGCATTTCTCACT